CTTTAATGCATAAATCTCTTACATTTTGTAGAAAAGAGGATGTAGACTTATAAAAAAAAAGTTACAGTAATACTAGCTTTTAGACTAATATATTTAAAATATATGTAGTGTATTAGTCTCTTTAATCATGTAGAAAACAAAAGTGCAGTTACAAACTGTTGTTACAAAAACACTAGCTTTTATAATTTCCCATGTATTTGTCTTTACTGAGATCTTTATTTTCTCATACAGCTTCAAATTACTGTTTAGTGTCATTTCATTTTAACCTGCAGAACCCCCTTTAGCATTTCTTACAGGGCAGGTTTAATGTCAATGAACTCCCTCAGCTGTTGTTTATCTGGGAATGTCTTGATTTCTTCCTTGCTTTCAAGGGACAGTTTTTCCAGATGTAGGATTCTTGGTTGACTTTTTTTTTTCTTCTACCACTGTGAATATATCAGTTTATTGCCTTCTGGCCTCTAAAATTTATGAGAAGAAATCGGATAATTTTATTGAGAATCTTTTATAGGTGATGAGTTGCTTCTCTCTTGCTGCTTTCAAAGTTCTCTCTCTGTCTTTAGCTTTTAACAGTTTGATGTTTCTCAGTGTGAGTCTCTTTAAAGTTCTCTCTATTTGGATTTCCTTAAGCTTTTCAGATGTTTATATTCACATATCACATCATACCTAGGAAGTTTTTGGCCATTATTTCTTCAAATAATCTTTCTATGCTTTTCTTTCTCACTTTTCCTTTTGAGACTCCCACAATGCATATGTTGGTCCTTTTGGTGGTGTCCCACAGAACCTTTGGGCTCTGTTTGCTTTTGTTCAATTTTTTTTTCTGTTCCTGAGATTCATTGATTTCAAAGGTCCCATCTTAAAGATCATTGATTCCTTCTGCCTACTCAAATCTGCCTTTGAATTCTTGTGGTGAATTTTTATTTTGTTATTGTACTTTCCAGCTCTAGAAAAATATTTTGGTCTCTTTTAGGTTTTCTGTCTCTCATTAATATTTTCATTTTTTGTGTGTGTCATTTTCTTGACTTTTTTACATCTCCTTTAGTTCTCTGAGCATCTTGAAGACAGCTGTTTTAAAGTTTTGTCTAGTAGATCTGCCATCTTGTCTTTCTCAGGGATAGTTTCTGTTGGTTCAACAGTTTAATCATTTTTATTCTTTAAACAGCTATATTTTTCTGTTTCTTTGTATGCTTTGTGCTTTTTTGTTTGTTTTCTTGAAAACGGAACATTTAAATCTTATAATGTGGTAATGCTAGTAATTAGATTATCTTCTTTCCCCAGGATTTCCTGATTTTAGTTTAATTTAATTTTTAATTGTTCTAGGCTGTTTTCATGCCAGCCTGAAATTTAAACTGAAGGTCCTCTCAGACTTTTTCTGAACCTGTGCCTTTCTTTGGTCAATCACATTATAATTTCCCCTGTATATATAAATGCTGTTGAGTGTCTCACTCTTTTTTTTTAATCCTTCCCTGAGGACATTTTTGCATTCATCTTCAGATAGACTCAGAGGAAGAGAGGGAGGAAGAGAGAGAGAAACATCGATGTGAGAGAGACACATCGACTGGCTGCCACCCACACAACCCCAACTGGGGCCAGGGACAAACTGCAACTGAGGTACGTGTCCTTTGTGGGAACTGAACCCAGGTCTCTCTGGACCGTGGGCTGACACTCTAACCACTGAGCAAAACCAGCAAGGGCGAGTGTCCCACTCTTTAATGTCTGACTCTAAAAGTGTGGGGGGAAATGAAGGAGGACAAAAAAGATACTAGTTTTTTAAATCACTTAGAAGTTGCTTTCTCCTGAGGGTGATGAGTTTGCAACAGTTAAAGGGGGGTACAATAATGGCTGCCCATCTCTATCTGCACCTCTATGATCAGAAGTTGTAATCAGAAATCAAGGCACAGATCATTGGAGGAAAGGTCCTTATTGTTCACCCTGCATCCTACAAGCTGTGTACAAGATCTACAGGAACACACATATGGCTTCCTTCATGGGTGTGGGGGATGGGTAGCTACTGACAAGCTAAGAGCTAAAACTAAAATTAACCACAATTTACCATGTATGCCTTCCTTTGGGAGTTCCAAGTCTTCAATCGACTCCACAGTTCCAAAATAGTTTCATCAGAAAGATTCCCCCAGCCAGTATGGCTTAGTGGATTGAGCATTGTCCCACACACCAAGAGGTCACCAGTTTGACTCCTGTTCAGGGCACATGTTTGGGTTGTTGGCTTGATCCATAGCAGGGTGTGTGCAGGAGACAGTTGATTGATGTTTCTCTCTCATCAATGTTTCTGTCTCTCTCCATCTCTCTCTAAAAAATTAATAAAAACATATTTTTTTAAAAGAAGATTCTACTGCCCTGGCTGGTTTGGCTCAGTGGTTAGAGCTTTGGCCTGCAGACCAGAGAGACCCAGGTTTGATTCACGCTAAGAGTATGTACTTCAGTTGCAGTTCATCCCTGGCCCCGGTTGGGGTTGTGCAGGTGGCAACCTATTGATGTGTCTCTCTCACATTGATGTTTCTCTCTCTCTCTCTTCCTCCCTCTCTCCCTCCTGCTCTGTCTGAAGATAAATGCAAAAAAAAAAAAAAAATGTTCTTGGGTGAGGATAAAAAAAAAAAAGATTCTACCAGTGCAACAGTCTAGGTAGAGAATTTGTAAGATCACTGACTTTGAAATATCACTGACATACTGTCACCCTTCGGCTGTTTAATGCATTTGGAGGTAAGGAATATACATCTGTATCATGCCCATTGTACAATGGAGAGTTTTTCTCATGTTTCTTGGAAATCTCCTCATTACTTTTATTCTTTTGACCTCTCACTATTTTGTCCTCATTCACTTTTTAAAGTAAAAAAGTAATTTATTGCCTACTATGGCTTCTTTAACAATTTATAGTTTTGTTAAGATGTGAGTTCATGGTTCTGCATTTATTATGTATGTGGAATTGTCTGCTAGAAATTTTTTTTTCTTGTTCATCATATAGAATTAGACAAAAACTATCTGAATTTTCTGGTGCTCAGAAAGGAAAACTATGATTTTTAGTGCCCCTGAAATATGATTAGCATACTTGGTGATACCTACCTCTCTGTTTTTAACCTCTATGGACTCACAGCTAGTTACATAGACTCTCCTCACCCTGTTGATGTTCTAAATTTGACTATTTGACAACTGTCTGTTTTTTTTTTTCAGGTATTCTTTCTAGCATAACTTTAAATATCCTTGATATCCTTGATTTCATATCTGCTTCCTTATAGTTACAAGATGTTCCAACCTTATTTAGATTTTTTTCTATCCTGACATAGAACATGAAATTAATCCTGATTTCTTTTAGAATATTAGAGACCAAAACCTGGGTAACAGTGGTACACAGGAAACTAGTTCAGACCTCGAGAGAAGAAGTAAGAGCTTCTTTGTAGTCGGAAAAGAGTCAAGTTTATGCTGATATTGTCAATTTCTCTCCTCTTTCACTAAGTTATTTTTTGTGATTTTTTAATGTTATCTTTAAAATCTGAATATTCATGTTTTTTAACCAACAAAACCAGTTCTTTCTCTTCTTTCTTTTTCCCATCTCTCCTTCCCTCCTTCTTCCCCTTTTCTCCCTCTCTCTCTCTCTCTCTCTTTCTTCATAAAAGTATAATGTAGTGGTTAAGACTATAGGATTTCAAAACAGTCCACCTGATTCAAAATCACTTTTATTTCCTAGCCTTGTAACCTTAAGCAAGTTACTTAAATTCTCTACACCTCAATTTGTTTCTGTTTCATAAGAACAGTGCAAAGACTATTGAATTAACACATGTCAAGCCTATTACATTTTTAAATTTATTTGGAACAGTGTAAAAACCACTGAATTAATACATGTAAAGCAAATTAGATCTTTATATTTCCTTGGTTGAATTTTTGTTCTTCAACATCCTAAATAATATCGGAAATCTCAGTTGTTCTTCTTATTTTAAAAAAAAATGTCCATATAAAATCAAATAATCAGTTTCATATGCTTTTATATAAAACTAGTTTTGTTATACTTCTAAGCACAATTATTTTATAGTGTTAGAACTATATAATTACATCTCACTATTTTTAGAGATACTTTCAGAATGATGAGCTATCATTAAGGCAATTTAGAAACATATTGCATTTTCCTTAAGGAAGAAGATTTCTTAGTAAATGCCAAAATGTCAAAACTGAGAAGAAAAGAAGGAATCCAATAGCTTTGTAGCCTGTGACTCATTGTTCAATTTATATTCACCCAATATATGTCACCTTCCCTCCAGCAGACAGCCCTTCCAGGAGAGAATAACACATTGTCTGTAAGGATAGTATTTTCTTTTTAGTTTTCCTTCTGTTCTCTGTAATGTGAAAAATAGATATTCATATGTGACTTTAACTACTAAACAGTTAAATAATGAGATGTCTCAAAATTGTTCCAGGTGGGTGTCTTTGGGCCTCTCCCTTTGCCCTGGGTTTCAGGATTTGTTCTATAACGCTACATAATACAGGCTAAGGAACAAGTTTACTGGGCAAAGAGTTAGGTTGGCAATAAGAGACAACTTCAAGCCCCTTTGATTTTTCTTCATCCTTCAGAAGCCCAAGTCCTATCAGAGTGCTGTTGGCCACCCTGCCAGGGGAAGGACCTCATAACTGGGGGATTCTGTTGACTGTACGACATATTCTTCCTAGGCTATTGTGTGTTGCAGGTCAGCTTCCCTGGGAACGGACTCAAGGATGGAGATTTGCCTGCAGGAAGTTTACCGGGGAATGGATGCTCTTAAAATCAGGACTCCCATGGGAAGTACAGGAAGCAGAATTGGGTACAGATTGTGAACTATGTTGCCAACAGAAGCTTCAGGCCATCCTGCTAAGAGCTCTGGAGCTGGGCTGGCCTGGAGCTTTGCCTTTGTATCCGCATGTCAATTCATCATGGAATACTAGCTTCCTCCTGGAAGGGGCCATGAACTTGGTCTAGGTGACTGTGATGTTGTGATTTATAATAAGAATATATATTCCCTCTTGATCCTGTTTCTGGCACAGAGCTCCCAAAACCTTTGGAATTTCCTGTGAGGAGAGCACTAAAGGTATCTTTTGTTATTTTAATGATGTGACTTTATGGGTGCGGACAGGTTGCCAGTGGAGCCAACCAGGTGTTTTGTGGGTTGGATCCTTCAGTCCCATCTCCCCACCTCTGTGGAGGGGAGAAAGACTAGAAATGAATTTTAATCGCCAATAACCGATGGTGTAATCAGTCATGCCTATGTAATGAAGTCTCCATAAAAACCCCAAAGGATGGAGGTTTGGAGAACCTCTGGGTTAGTGAACACTGGGAGATGTGGGAAGAATGGTGTGCTGTAGAGAACACGGGAGCTCTGTGCCTTTCCCCATAACTTGCCCTATGTTTCTCTTCCATCTGGATGTTCCTGAGTTATATCCTTTTATAATTAACTGGTCATCTAATAAGTAAAATGTTTCTCTGAGTTCTGTGAACCACTCTAGCAAATTAATGGAACCCTAGGAGACAGTGGTTAGACTGACTGATCTATACTCAGATAGCAGCACAGGTGACAATCTGGACCTTTGTCATCTGAAGTGGAGTAGGCAGTTCTGTAGGACTGAGTCCTTGAACTAGGATCTGACACTATGTAGATAGTGTTGGAATTGAGTTGCATTGTGGGACTTCCAGCTGTGTTTGAGAATTGATTGGTAGTATGGGAAAATCTGCCACACATTGAAACTGGTGACCAGAATCATACTTAGCTACAGAACTTTTAGTGACTCTCTTCAGCAGAGATAGAGAGTAATTGCCAGGAGCAGAGACTCAGCTATGAGCTGTTGGCCACCAACTCTCCCAAAGATGGAGGGATGAGTGTTCTGTCCTGAGAAGGACATTTCTATAAATCATTGGGTAATAATTATAATGGTTTTAGGCTGAAAGTGTGACAATTATTTGTTACAACTTCCACCTTTTATTTATTTACAATGAAGTCTATGAAATTTTCTATGAACTCATAAAATGAATCTCCTAAGAATGTGAGTCCTTTCTCTATCAACAAAATTTTGTTGCTATACTTCACTTTAATGACAATAAAGGTAACTTTTTATTTGCACTATGCTTAGAAAAAGTCTTATAATTTGCTTATTTTCCCTGGGATTCCAATTCTGACTATTTAAAAAATAATATTATTTCAGAAATAATTGCAGCAGTTCACGTGTTACCATGGATCAGCTAATAATATGAAACTCAGAACCCATTAACCTTTCATTATTTTGGTTGTTTTAAGTTTTTATTACTGCTTTTTTGTTTTTCTTTAATCAGCAGTCTAGAACCAATTGCATATATCACTTTTGAAAGTCTTAACACATTTCTTAAATTCTCATCATCTTGGTGCTGTGGATTTATTTATTGAAGTTCATTTTACAGATGTTGTAATCAGTATTGGAGACACCAGGGGGATTCATCAAGCCCCAATCCTAGCAGCTGTCAGGGAAATTTAATAGCTGGAATGCCTATCTAAAGAAGAATATTTGAAAGATCTACTAAACCCTAGAAAAAAGGTATGTCTAACATTTTATTCTACAGAAGATTGAAGAACATTCACGTACAAAAATATCTGTAAGAGGATAGTCTTGTTCAGAGATCAGACTCTTTAGTACTTGATCCACACTATAAAACACGTGCACAATGGGATTCCCTTCACTTTTAATATTCCAGTCCAAGGGGACCAGTTCTAAGTCTTTAAAATATCAGTTAATATGTTTTATTTGAGAGATTTTATTGTATTTTTATGTGAAAAAAATGGGAGTTTCTAAAACTCTTCTACCTTCTCCCCCTTTCTCTTGCTCTTCCTTGTATCCTCCTTTTTATATTGTATTTCTGTTTCCTGCGTCTGCGCTGAGCACCCTGTGAGGAGGGCATGGGACAGCTACATAGTGGAATAGAAGATAAATTAGAATGAAGACTGATAGTGAGACTCAGTGTCAAGCATTGCTCAGGGCTTCCACCTGGTATATTTTCATTAAAGAATTAACTACTCACTGGATTTGTCACTAAGAGTTGCTCTAAGTAACTGCTCTAACACCATGTGGTTATGAGAAAACAGGTGAGTAACTGATAGTTGCTGCATTTGACCTAATATTTATCTCTTGTATTTTTAAGTCACATTTTGTATCTGCATTTCAAAGGAAAGTAAAAACAACATACTTTCTTTTCTGTCTCCTGACTTCCAAAATATTTTCACCTGATTGTCCTTGATAATTCTATATTGTATGTATAGGAAATGGTGCCAACTTTTGTGTAAGTCTTTAAAGAGTATAGATGCCTTGAGAATAGAACTATCAAATAAGTGTTTTTAATATACTTGTATATCTTTATTTCAAATTAGTTTATTTGATCTCTATTTTTGTTTTTCTAAGTTTCTTCCTTAGGGTACAGTGTCATTTTTCTTACATTATTAGGATTTGGGATTTCAGGATCCAGGGTGGGGGGTGTTAACAGTGCCAATAGGATTAATCTGAAGAAGATAAAAGTCCATCTTATGTCATGTCGGCAGAAATTCAGGGATAAAAAAAATACACTGTAAAATAAATCCTCACTTTAGAAACTCTTTGGCTTCTGTTAAAAATGGGAAATAAAATATGTGGCAATTTTAGAGAAACAAGCTTTATATTAGCTGAAACACCTCTTTTCAAACAAGACCAGATACCTAGGAAGGCCCAGAAACAGATCTGGATAAAGATATAAATGAGATTATATTTTACTTTTTAATTTGAATGATATGCTGGGGTCACTTGTGATTAACATCACATCCTCTGACATTCAATTATATATCTGAGAGACATCACTGATATTTAGCATACGTTTGGATTATCTTCCAAAGCTGTGCATTGGGATTCATTTTGTGTTTAATTGAATTTAATGTTAATGGTCATCTTATAGCATGCCTTCTGTTTTGGGTTTTTTAAATGTTTTATTTACTTGGAGTTTGTATGGTGTATATTGTTAAACATCTTTTAAAAATATGAATCAGCTATGTATGGACACTATAAATGTTTTGCTCTTGTTTCTGCACATGAAAGACAACTTGATTAGCTTAGACTTGTTGAATTACAATGCTTATTCATCAAATTTGAAACAGATTAATCTGTTGTCTTCTGGAATTTAATACTGAGAGTCTAAAGTAGGCTCCTCTGTGGCTAATTTTTTTTCTTCCTGTTTTAATTCCTTTAGAATTCGTTCTTCAACTATGATATTAGAAAATAAAATCACCAAAGAAAATATATCCCATTCTCTTTCATTCATTTTTCTAGTGTGTTAAATTTAATGTTTCCATTTGTAGAGTTGGGCTTCCTTGTTCTACAGTTTCTTTCCTTTTCTTTTTCTTTTCTATTTTTTTTTTTGCCTTTATTTATTCATTTGCTTTATGTGGTTGGCAGAACAATGCATCTCCCCACCCGGAAAGATGTCCATGGCCTAATTCCTGGAACTCATGAATATGTTATGTTACATGGCAAAAGAGACTTTGCAGTTTTATTACGGCTATGGGTCTTTAAAAAGGGGAATTGTCCAGGTGGTCCTAATTCTTTGTATGAGCCTTAAAAGCAGAGGAAGTCCTCTGGGTGGAGGCAGAAGACATGTGGCAGAAGGGAAAGTCAGAGACTCAAAATGTGAGGCAGCCTCTAGGAGGAAAGACAGCGAGCAAGGAAATGTGGCCTTTACTCATTCGGTAACAAGGACTGAATTTGGCAAACAACACGAATGAGCCTGGAAGTGGATTCTTCCTTAGAGCCTCCAGATGAGAAGTTTTGTTTTGACCTGATGAGACCTGGAGCAGAAGAACCAAATGAGGCAGCAGAGTGAATGGAAGCTACACAGATCATCTCGCAGAACCAAACTGGAATTACAACTAAAATAAAGACAAAAACGATAGGAAAAAGCAACAGAAAATCAGCTTGCGAGGATGATATAACCAGAGACACTGACTCAATCCTGGTAGGATTGCGGAAGTGTGAGAGGGGGGCTGGGAGCCCAGAGACTGCAGCGGCCTTAGCTGTGAGCAGCGCCCTCTGGTTGAACTCCCAAGCAGCTCCACAGCGCAGAGTTGGGGCAGACGCTAAAATAGCCACAGCCACCCACTTGAGCTCCGGCAGATGGAGGGCGGACTGGACAAGAACTGTGTGGGGACACTCGGGATTTGGATGGGGCTCACAGCTTTTGTTGAGTTGCAGCCATGCAGGATAGTGGCCATCTACTCTTTCCCAGGGTTCTGGGAAGAGGCAGTGGCCCCTCCCTTGGGGATCCAACCCCACCCTGTGAGCCATTGAAATGCAAATTGAGTCTCACTAACAACCAGCATCTGCCCCACCCTTGGGAAATCCCCTTACACTGAGCAGCTGAGGGAGTTTTTCATTCAACTGAGAAGCCAAGGCTCTTCAAGTAGCCACTACTGATAGCCTCCAGCCATAAAATTAGAAGATAACTACCATTCTTGGGCTAGCAACTCTAACCAGGAAAGTAAGACTTGACAGTGGTTTTAACGTGGGTCCTCCCTGGTACATCCAAACCCAGGAGAGGGAGCCATAAACAGCAGAACACCAACACCCATGGGGAAAATTTGGCAGGTTCCAAGCCCACAGTGATAACCAAAATGCTGAAACACAAAAAGAAAGGCCAAATGAAAGAACAAGAGACCTCTACCAAAGATGAGATAAATGAGGTGCAGCTAAGCAAGTTAACAGAACTAGAATTCAGAGCCATGATCTTGAAGAAGCTTAACAGCATGAGTAAGGACACAGAGATGCTGAAAATCAACCAATTAGAAATCAAAAACCACCAAGAAGAAATTAAGAATGACATATCAGAAATAAAGAACACATGGAAAGGTCTAAACAGCAGAGTAGAGGAGAATCAGTGAATTAGAAGGCAGGGTAGAAAAAAATCAACCAATCAGAAAACCAAAAGGAAAAAACAATTAAAAAACAGGAAGACAGCTTAAGAGAACTGTGGGACAACTGGAAATGTAATAATATTCACATCATAGGAGTCCCGAAAGAAGAAAAAAATGAGCAAGGGATAGAGAATATATTTTAAGAAATAGTGACAGAAAACTTCCCTAATTTAGTGAAGGAAGAAGGCATTCAAGTTCAAGAAGCACAGAGAGCCCTAAGTAAGAAGAACCCAAACAGGCCTACACCAAGACACATAGTAATCAAAATGCCAAAAATTAAAGACAAAGAGAGAATCCTAAAAGCAGCAAGACATAAGCAACAGGTTACCTACAAAGGAACCCCCATAAGGCTATCAGCTGACTTCTCAAAAGAAACACTACAAGCCAGAAGGGAATGGCATGAAGTAAACAAGGTCATGAAAAACAAGGATATGAATCCAAGACTATTCTACCCAGCAAGGCTGTCATTCAAAATAGAAGGTCAAGTAAAGAGCTTCCAAGACAAAAAAGGCTAAGGAAATATATTAGCACCAAACCAGCACTGCAAGAAATGTTAAAAGGACTGCCGTAATTATTAGAACAAATAGGAAGAAAAATAGAACCAAACTAAATAAAATGGCAATACATAAGTACATATCAATAATCACCTTAAATGTAAATGGACTGAATGCTCCGATAAAAAGATACAGAGTAGCTGATTGGATAAGAAAGCATGACTCGCCCTGGCTGGTTTGGCTCAGCGGTTAGAGCGTCGGCCTGCGATCTGGAGAGACCCGGATTCGGTTCCCGCTAAGGGCATGTACTTCGGTTGCAGTTTGTCCCCGGCCCTGGTTGGTTGTGCGGGTGGCAGCCACTCGATGTGTCCCTTCACGTCGATGTCTCTCTCTCTCTCTCTCTCCCTTCCTCTCTCTCCCTCCCACTCTATCTGTACAAAAAATGGAAAAGTATCCTCGGGTGAGGATAAAAAAAAAAAAAAAAAAAAAAAAGAAAGTATGACTCATCTATATGTTATTTACAAGAGACCCACCTCACAAAAAAAGACTCACATAGGTTGAAAGTTAAGGAATGTAAAAAAAGCTTCCAAGCAAACGAAAAGCAAAAATAAGCTGGGGTAGCAATACTCATATCTGATAAAATAGATTTCAAAATGAAGGCCATAACTACAGACAAAGAAGGCCACTGCATAATATTGAAAGGATCTATCAAAAAGGAGGATATAACCTTGATAAACATGTATTCACCCAATATAGGAGCACCAACATATATTAAAAATCTTCTGGAGGACTTCAAAGGAGAAATCAACAGCAATACAATCATAGTAGGGGACTTCAACACCCCGCTGACATCACTGGATAGATCCTCTAGACAAAAAATTAGCAAGGAAACAGAGACTCTAAATGAAGCACTAGACCAAATGGATTCAATAGATACCTACAGAAAATTACACCCCAAAACTACAGAATTCACATTCTTCTCAAGTACACATTGGACATTCTCAAAGATAGACCACATGATAGGACACAAACTAAATCTCTACAGGTTCAAGAAGATTGAAATCGTATCAAGCATCTTCTCAGATCACAATGGCATGAAACTAGAATTCAATTGCAACAAAAACATGCAAAGACATTTGAACACATGGAAACTAAATAGCATGTTATTAAACAATGAATGGGTTACCATGGAGATCAAGGAAGAAATTAAAAACTTCCTGGAAACCAATGAAAATGAACACACAACATAACAAAATCTTTGGGATGCAGCAAAAGCAGTTCTGAGAGAGAAGTTCATAGCATCACAGGCCTACCTCATGAAACAAGAAAAAATTCTAATTGACTGTCTAACCTCACAATTTAAAGAATTAGAAAGCAAACAAAAATAAAACCCCAAAGCAAGTAGAAGGAAGGAAATAGCAAAGATCAGAGCAGAAATAAATGACATAGAGACCAAAAAAACAGTTCAAAGAATCAATGAAACAAAGAGCTGGTTTTTCGAAAAGATAAACAAGACTGATGGATCCTTACCTAGACTCACCAAAAAACAAAGAGAGAGAACCTAAATACACAAAATCAGAAATGAAAGAAAAGTAACTGATACTACAGAAATACAAAAGATCATTAACAACCACTATGAACAATTATATGCCAACAAATTCGTCAATCTAAGCAAAATGGACAATTTTCTAGACACACAGTCTCCCAAAACTGGACTGGGAAGAGATAGAAAACTTGAGCAGATCAATAACAACTAAGTGAATTGAAGAGGTAATCAAGACTCTCCCAGAAAACAAAAGCCCAGGCCCGGAAGACTTCATGGGGGAGTTTTACTGAACATTCAAAAAATAAATAACACCAATTCTCCTCAAACTATTTCAAAAAATTCAAGAAGAAGGAAGACTTCCAAATTTGTTTTATGAAGCCAGCATAATTCTAATTCCAAAACTAGAAAAAGACATTACAAAGAAAGAAAACTACAGGCCAATATTCCTGATAAACATAGATGCCAAAATCCTGAACTAAATACTAGCAATTTAGATACAGCAATACATCAAAAAAATTATTCACCATGACTAAGTGGGATTCATCCAAGGGATGCAAGGCTGGTCTAATATTTGCAAATCAATAAATGTGATACACCACATAAACAAAATGAAGAATAAAAATCACTTGATCATATCAACAGATGCTGAATAGCATTAGACAAAATCCAGCATCCATTTCTGATAAAAACACTCACCAATATGGGAATAGAGGGATCATATCTCGACATAATAAAGGCCATATATGAAAGACCTAAAACCAACATCATACTCAATGGGCAGAAACTAAAAGCATTTCTCTTAAGAACAGGAACAAGACAGGGATGTCCACTTTCGCCACTCTTATTTAACATTGTACTGGAAGTCTTAGCCACAGCAATCAGACATGAAGAAAAAATAAAAGGAATCCAAATTGGAAAGGAGGAAGTGAAACTGTCATTATTTGCAGATGACATGATATTATACATAAAAAACCCTAAAAACAGCATCAAAAATCTACTAGCCTTAATGAATTTGGCAAAGTAGCAGGATACAAAATAAACGTCAAGAAATCGATGGCATTCTTATACACCAATGATGAACTCACAGAAAGAGAAACTGAAAAAACAATCCCATTTACCATTGCAGCAAAAAAATTAAGATACCTAGGAATAAACTTAACCAAAGAAGTAAAGGACCTATTTGCAGAAAACTACAGGACATTGAAAAAAGTAATAGGGAAAGATATAAAAAAGTGGAAGCACATACCTTGTTCATGGATTGGAAGAATTAACATCATTAAAATGTCCATATTACCCAAAGCAATCTATAGATTCAATGCAATGCCCATCAAAATACCAACAACATACTTCATAGAACTAGAACAAATACTTCAAAAGTTCATATGGAACCAAAAAAGACCCCGAATAGCCACAGCAATCTTGAAAAAGAAGGACAAAGTAGGTAGGATCAGAATACCAGCAACTGTAATCAAAACAGCCTGATACTGGCAAAAGAACAGGCATATAGCTGTAAGAAAGAAACACATCTTATCCTTTGAGACGACATGGAGGGACCTGGAAAGTATTATCCTAAGTGAAACAAGCCAAGCCAAAAAAGACAAATACCACATGATCTCACTTATTTGTGGAATATAATGAACATAACAGTCTGAGGAATAGGGTAGACCCAGAAACATGGAAGTAGGGTACAGACTGACAACCCTCAGAAGAGGGTGTGTTGGGGTGAGGGAAGAGATAAACCACAGAACTTATAAGCATGTACGCATAAGCAATGGACAAGGACAACAAAGCTGGGGATGGGGCTGGGGGTGGACGATGGGGAGGAGGGTGTCAATGTGGTAAAAAAGGAGAAACATCTGTAACAAAAATAAAATTAAAAATAAATAAATAAATAAGAACCAAATGAGCCCGCCCATACTTCTGACCTATAGAACTGTGAGAGCATCACGGTGTGTTGCTTTAAACCACTGAAGGTGTGATGATTTGTTACCACAGCACAAGAAAACAAGGCACTTCATTTGTTACATTTTTTGTTTCTTTCCAGGTCGATACACCTGTATTCAAGTGGGAGTGTGCATGAATAGTTTATGTTTCTCTGCTTTGCTTAGACTTGGGAATTCAGTTATTCAATCAGAAGCCTTGTAAGCATGGTGTGAAAAGCTCGATTTTACTTCCTAAACAGAAACTCAGAAGGAGGATGTCTGAATTATGTAATTGTTATTTTGACTGTAAATTGAGTATAGAAATTCCTATCCTCTGTTATAACTTATGTATCAAAAAAGCTTGCTAAAATAAAATGATGAGCATGATGACATGTAAAGCAGTTAAATGTATTTGCATGGATACTACCTTCCTTGGAAAGACTGATGATATTCTTTCAGACTGAGTTAGGCTCTTGAATGAAGTTGAAAATGAAAAAGGTATGTGATCAAGGTGTTTGAACACATACACATGCAGATACACACACACGTGCAAGGATTTCTTCAGAACACATGTAACTCTCAGTTAATACAATGTTGTAAAATTGAGCCTGGTAGAATGAATTAATTCAAGTAGTTATTTTTAAACAACAGTGATGTGAAGAAAATTAATGAATCAGACTGAACATCATAAGTAACTTTTTTCCCCCTGAAATCTCACAACTCAGTGTCTTTGTGAGCCAACACAGTTATAATTGGTAGGAATGGATGCATATATAAAAGAAAAATTCAAAATTCAATAACAGTGAATTTGCATATTTTTAAAATTTATTCAGATGTCCAATTGGTATTAAATGAAAATATATGATTCATTTGGTTTTTATATTTTGGTATTAATTCATCCTTTGTTGTAGAGTATAATAATAACAATCAACATTTTAAGGCTGAATCCACCACTCATTTCTTGACTTTGGGCAAGTACTCATCATTCCTGAGCCTCTCCTCATCTGAAATGGGAACCTTGCAAGGATGGCGTCCTTAAGAAATAAGATAACAACTCTCAAAGCTATGAAGCACAATGGCCAGCCCTTGGTCTCAAGGGGCAGCAGCTTCATTTACTGAGAACCTTTCCTGTGACGCTACTGTTCTTGATGCTCCAGAGGAAGCAGTGAAATATGAATAAGGCACGTCTCCAGCTTTGAAGGACCCACAATCTAGCAGAAGACATGGAAGACTAATCAGAACACCGAGTAAATTAGTAATTGCCAGGAGAGATGTGTGTACAAAGTGCTGTGGGGTGGAGGGGGAGGGAGATTGACAGTCTCTTGTGAAGTCGAAGGAGGTTTTATAGGAGCGATGATTTCTGAGCAAAACTGGCTGTTGACATTTTCCATGTGGAATATTTTCAGCAGAACCGTACGAGGGATCCACAGTACCACTCATCACACAGGTGTGACTATGGAAAGGCATGAAGTCAGGGGACTACTTCATATATTTGGGGAACAGTAAGTATGGAGGCACCACTTTTCTGAACAGGACCTGGGGATAAAACGTGGCTTTCAGGGCCTTGTCCTTGGCCACAGAGGCACCTGCCAGTCGAGGCTGGAGGCCATTTCGGCTGGTGCTCTCCTGAGTCATCTCTTAGGCAGCCGTACTTTCCAGAGAGCTGGGCTGCCAGGATGTGGGTGGTTGTGCAAACAGTGTTTCTGGGTGACCGGATGGGTACCCGCCAAATCCGTGCTCCAGACAGCTGGATGAGGATGTCAGTGAAAACGTCTCTCTTAATGAATGAATACACAGACAATGGCCAATCCGTATATTTAAAACCTGGCACAGCAAGTTACTATATTCACTCTCTCGCTACATCGAACCACAGTGGCTCTACCCTTGAACATCTGGAAGCCGGTCTCACTATCCATCCCTATGTTCCAGTTTAATCTAGTTTTCAGGCACTAGTATCATACAGAAAGGACAATCAAAGTCAAGTTTTATTTGGAGGAAAAATTCCAGGGATATTTAGAAATTCATAAAAGAGGAGAGCAGAGAATTTTCTGTTTAGGGTGATGTTAAACAAGACTTGAAATTGGAGTATAATGCAGTGAGTATCTCCCTGGTTCCCAGCCCATCCAGGAACGACACAGGAGGCACCCCAGTGGCTGTGGTTCAGGACGACAATGAGCTCATTCCAGGAATGCATGACAGTTGAACTGGGAGAATATCACAGTTAAAGGTAAGGCCGTCAGTTGGGAACACCGGGTGCCCTTAACTTCACGGATGCTGCCATGAATGAAGGAGCCGACCAAGGCTGCCTTAAAATGCCCCTCAGCTTGACCAGACTCTAGACAGGCTTCTTCCTGCCTCTAAGCCCTGATCTCCCTTCCCTTAGAGCATTTACTTTACAAAACGCATGCAATTCTTTGCCCCTTGGAGATATAAACCTTTAAAAATAAAACAAAAACTTTGTGCCAGTTTTATAAACCAGGACTGTCTTTCTCAGAAACCGGGAAGTTGTCTCTTTGAAATGTGATTATCAAAGAAGATAGCAGCCCGGTCTCCCAGTCTCTGCAGGCCAGTAGGTGGTCACCCTGTCGAGGAGCCTTGCTCTCAGTTGTGACACTACCTGCTGCCGTGAAGATATGAGCAAGCCCCCCACCCCTCATTTGGGTAAAGCCAATTAGCAAACACATATGGCCTATGATCTCTCCCTCACTTCAGCTCTTAAATTTTTTTCTGTGTTATATTTCAGCAGAATTTAGTGCAAATTAAGTTCTGGCCTTTTTCTCACATTGCGGGAATCTTGAATGAAGTTCTCCTCGCCTGTTTAACTTGGGTGAATTGTTTTGTTTTGACAGAACCTAAAACTGAATTTCTAATGGAGTGTGCTGTGAGTAACCCAGTGTATGAGGTGACAGGCAAGGGACAGCTAAAATCAAAGGTCACAGTAGGGTTGTGGGGGATCTCTGAATGTAAGGCAGAGAGATGACCTTGAACCAAGAGCAGTGGTCAAGGCAGCGAGGAGTGGTGAGGGAGGCAAACAATACTGGGGTGGAGCAAAGGAGCAGCTGCAAACATCTACACTGGACACGTGCCCATGATTCTGTGCTTCTCCTGAGCTTCTGAATGATTAGAAGACAGTTATGTGATCAGGGAAGTGAATATTTTCCAGTGGAAACTTATTGTAGATAGAGGCGTTGCTTTTTGTTTTTGCATGCAATCTTCATATTCAAGGGATAAATAAAACAATCCAAGCAATGTTCTCTAGACTTGCACCCAGATAATGTAACATGGCAGCTGAATTTGTTCTTTCTTATTCCCAATCCAGTTCACTTTCTACTCGCTCACATTTCTCATTTCAAAAAGGAAGGAAATGAAAATTTGTTGGAGGAAAGGCTAGGGAGAAGCTGGATATTGAAATTGTCCCAGCTTAGAAACTCAGGTTATCAGGACTTCAATGGGAGATATTTGAGAGATGGAATAAGGAAGAGGGATCCCGATTTAGCAGCATATGAGACAAAAAGTAAAACTAGTAAAAATAACTAGCACATGTTGGGTTTAGGAGGTGAGGAAGGTAGAGGAATGTTCTCTAAAACACAGGAATATGTGTAAAATGTTTAAGAGGTATAAGTCGCCAGCTTTGGGGATTCATTACAAGTTGTTATTGGTTAAGAAAATGTACAAAAGTCATCTATAGAAAATTTGAGATACAATGCTTCCTGATTAGAGAATATGAAAAGAAGACAAAACAATGAGAGTTTGACAAATTAAATGTCCTAAGGAATAAATACTCATCAAAGATAATGGAGAACCAGGGAAAGAAGAGAAACAATGGAACTTGTTCTTAAGAAAAGCCAAAAAATTTCCTATGAATACATAGGTGGTTAATATGTAATGATGAAGAAACAATCATCAAAATGGACAGGCAACCCACTGTATGGGAGAACATCATTGCCAATGATACATCAGATAAGAGGTTAATTCCCAAAATACATAGAGTGCTCATACAACTCAACAAAAGAAAGACAAAGAACCCAATTAAAAAATGGGCAGAGGAGCTAAATAGACACCTCTCCAAACAGGACATATAAATGGCTAAGAGACCTATGAAGAAATGCTCAATATCACTAATCATCAGAGACATGCAAATTAAAACAACAGTGAGGTATCACCTCACACCTGTCAGAATGGCCACCATCAACAAATCATCAAACAACAAGTGTTGGCGAGGGTGTGGATAAAAGTGTACTCTAGTACACTGCTGGTGGGAATGCAGACTGGTGCAGCCACTATGGAAAATATGGTTTTACCTCAAAAAATTAAAAATTCAATTGCCATTTGGCCCAATGATTCCATTTCTATTAATATAACTAAGAAGCCTGCAACACAAATCAGAAAGAATATATGTACCCCTATTTTCATAACAGCACTATTTACAATAGCTAAGATCTGGAAACAGCCCAAGTGTCCATCAGTAGACGAATGGATAAAAAAGCTGTGGTACATGTACACAATGGAGTACTATGCAGCTGTAAGAAAGAAAGATCTTTTATCCTTTGAGACGACATGGAGGGACCTAGAAAGTATTATCCTAAGCAAAACAAGCCAAGCAGAGAAAGACAAATAACACATGATCTCACTTATTTGTGGAATATAATGAACATAACAGTCTGAGGAATAGGGTGGACCCATTCTACTGGGTACAGACTGACAACCCTCAGAAGAAGGGCCCTGGCCGGTTTGGCTCAGCGGTTAGAGTGTCGGCCTGCGGTCCTGAGAGACCCGGGTTTGGTTCCCGCTAAGGGCACGTACCTCGGTTGCAGTTTGTCCCCGGCCCTGGTCGGTTGTGCGGGTGGCAGCCACTCAATGTGCCCCTTTCGCATCGATGTTTCTCTCTCTCTCTGTTCCTCTCTCTCCCTCCCACTCTACCTGAACAAAAAATGGAAAAATGTCCTCGGGTGAGGATAAAAAAAAAAAAAAGAAGAAGAAGGGGTGGTGAGGGGAGGGGAGAGATAAACCACAGAACTTATAAGCATGTATGCATTACTGATGGACACGGATAACAGATATGGGGTAGAGGGATGGGGAGGAGGGTGTCAATGGGGACAAAAAGGAGAAACATCTGTAACAAAAATAAAAAATAAATAAATAAAATCAACTAAAAAAATTATAGTGATGATGTTAATGATTGTTGTTTTTTTAAAAATTTATTTTTAAAGAGAGAGGGAGAGAGAGATAGAAACATTGATGAGAGAGAACATCAATTGACTGCCTCCTGCACGCCCCTCACTGGGGATCGAGCCCACAACCTGGGCATGTGCCCTCACCGGGAGTTGAACCAGCGACCTCTAGGTGCATGGGTCGACACTCAACCACTGAACCACACTGGCTGGGCTGTTTATTGTTTTTGTTTGTTTGTTTGTTTTGTTTAATATTTAGGACCCAGGAGAGACATTTGAAAGTTAAATGAAAAATCTATCCATCTAAAGAATTACAATGTAAATGAGGCTAGCAAGGACTAGGCATTATGTTAATCCTTGGTGCACAAGCTTCCTATTTCTCTGCTGACTCCTACCTGGCGTTTAGGATGGAGCTGATTTGCTGGAGGATGTTTCTCAGAATATGCTTTCCCTCAGTTTTTGTTCTTTGCTTGCTCTGTGCCTCAGAGAATATGTCTTTTGCAGCTTTACTGCACTCTTTTTTTTTATCCTCACCCGAGGACATTTTTCCATTTTTTGTTCAGATAGAGTGGGAGCGAGAGAGAGAGAAACATCGACATGAAAGGGACACATCCAGTGGCTGCCACCCACATGACCCAACCAGGGCCAAGGACAAACTGGAACCGAGGTACATGCCCTTAGCAGGAACCAGACCCGGGTCTCTCTGGACCGCAGGCTGATGCTCTAGCTACTGAGCAAAACCGGCCAGGGCACTGCACTCTTTAATTATTACTTATACTCCGGACTTATTAGCCTAGTGATGGAGAGTGTGCGGGGCTCTCTCCTATTCTGACTTAGCCTCTGTCTTAGACAGGCTCTGTGTCTCTGGGTATAAGGGCTGTGGTTCTCCAACTGTAGTCTTGGGCCCAGGTTACATTCCTGCCTCTTCTCTATAACAGTAGCTCAACTGCGACAGTTTTGTCCCTCAGGGGACATTTGGCAGTATCTGGAGACATTTTTGGCTGTCATAACTGGGCAGTGTTACTGGCATCTGGTAAGTAGAGGCCAGAGATGCTGTTAACTGTCTTTCAATACAGAGGACAGCCCCTTAACAAAGGTGAATCTACCTTAAATATCAATAGAGTGTAAATTGAGGAATAGCCCTGGGTGGGTAGAAGGATTTTTGCTTGTTTATTTCTGTTCCCTTCCCATCACTGCAATGAGTTTTCCCCAGTTCCATAAGGGCTGCTGTCTCATTATTGTTGTTTATTTGGCTTTTATTTTTTTCTCTTAACATCCCTCCTTCTTAGATTATGGCTGTTGCTCCATAAAAAAAAAAGATTAAGGTGAAGATTCCAAGTAGTGTTTCCTACCGTTCTGTAGCATTTGCTGTTGGGTGCGGAGGGTAGAAGACGAAGACAGCAATAGTGATGGAGCCCCACGCTCACATGTAGGCCGAAGGAGCTTCAGATTTTCTTGCCAGCCTGCATTCAGCCTCCACCAGTTCATCAGCAGTTCCAGCTGAAGTATTTTTACCATGCTTGGCTGCCTGGGTCCCAGGGGAGCAAGTGTTCCCGTCCTGCCCACCCATCTCTCCCCAGAGTGCGGGTCAGTTGAGTGCTGTGCTTCCTCAGCTCCCTGTGGGCTCAAGTAGACTCATGCGCTTGCACTTGGTCTGACTTTATCTTTGTTGCAGGGGTAGGAGCAATGTTCTTTCTAGTTCTCTAAATCCCCAAGCAAAAATTGGAAATTAATACCGAGAAAGTGTTGCAGTAAAATTAACCATCAGGGAATATGCCTTTTCAGAGCAGCTGACTCCATCTCAACATTTTAAAGTCTGTTTTTGATATAAAAACATTTCAAATGACAAACTATCTCCTGCATTTCTGTTCTTCATTGCTTGTTTGAGGAAATAAGTAAGTTAACCCACGCTTAATTGTAAATAGTGTTCTCTATGTAAACAGATCACTCGATATTTACATCTAGTTAAAAGAAATGATCAAATAAAAATGTATTCATGCCTTTACTGTCGCTTTGCCTGGTTTTTAAATTTTCTAATGTGAAAATTGATCT